AGCTCCTATTCCAAAACTATCGTAAAAGTTTCACTCTCTGCATCAATAAGTCTTATTGAATGGGGTACTCCAGGATATGTCAAGTAGGTATTGTTAGTTTAAGCATAAAAGTCGTGTTGGTATAGGGTTTTTTATTGGAGATACTTCCTTTTTCCCTATAGATGTGAATAGAAACCACACGTCGTGTAGATAATTTTAAGAGAAGCGATCTTTTGCATGCCATCAATTAGTTGACATTTATTATTTCAAGGAAATGGTATTAGTTTAGGCTAGGAAACTCGAGAGTATATCTTTTGAATAGGGCAATTTATGTAGCATAATAAACACGTCAAAAGTAAGGGCTCTCGAGAAACATATATAGTTTATTTTTATTTTGTGAATATCTGCAGAGGGTACTTAAGAATTTCGAAGAAGTCCCCACATGTTGCGAAAACATAAATTATTTGTATGTCAAGTATCTGAAGCTGGTCAAAAGAGAAGGAAGGAATAGTATACACCCCTAGAGAGAAAAATCTACCACGATTGGTTGATACCATCCAACCAAGTCAAGTTTCCACCCATAACGGGAATGAACAGACGAAATTAGAGTCAGATAGGGATTTTAGAAAAATCTTAAAGTTAGTTCAATTTTGAATTTCATCCTGCTTGCCTAGTGTTCTGGTGCGTGAATTCAGTGTCTGGTAAATCTCTCAAAGATTGTATTTTTTCTGATATTGATAAAGTTTCCCTTCTGGTAATCATTGGAATCTTGTAAATTCATTGAGTTTTCAGAGTCTGGACTCAACTAGGTTAGTACCTTCCGTACTGCTTAGAACCTCTAAATTTTAAAGTGAAATACATTTTTTGAACCATTAACTTCCTTTTGACTGGTTAAGATAATATTAATTTGATAGATTTCAACTCAGTCAGGATAGCTGTAATCATCATAATTATCTCTTGTTCATTTATTTGCTTTGTTATATAGGAGCCATTTCCTAATCGAGTCGTATTTTCTTTACTTGTCTTTTCATTATTTGTTTATTTTGAGAATCATTAAATAGATCGTTGAGGTTTTATTTATTCTTTTATTGCTGAACTTACTCACTTCTCTTCCAGAAGTGAACAATAAAGTAAATTTAATAGAAGTTCTTCTGATATAAGTCAAAAGTTGATTATATAATATAATAAAGGCAAAGAGTTACCAGATAAGTGTTTATACGTGTGACGGTTCGAGGTAATCGATAGCCCGCAGAAGCGATAGCTGAGCCCAGAGAGCTGTCACCCCTTCTGAGAGTCGAAAGGTAAGTGGAATTTTATTGATAATGTTTACGAGCCAACTCAAGCGTATTCTTATTGGACCTTACTTGCCTAACCTGTCTCGTTCGGCAAAGAAAATCAGTAGATGAAGGAAATAAATATTATTAAGAAGGTGGACCTAAGACAGGTGTAATTTAATCAGTTTATTTCGAGGATAGAGTATCTTCATCAGAGTCCACCCTTCTTACAAATTGGCGCAGTCGGTAGGATTAAAAAAAAATCAGAATTTTGGTAGGATTATCAATCAGAATTTTAGTGGGATGAAAATAGAATTCAATCCGAATATAAATCAGAATTTTTGTTGGATCAAATTAAAATTCAATCAGGATCAAATTAGGACGTTTTTCATTACATTGAATGAAACATTGATTGGATTAAGTATTATGATTGAATTCAATTATTTCCAGAGTATCTGTCACATAATTTCTTGATAACACGCAGAATTGTGTTTTCAATTTCGAAATTTTGTCGTTAAAAATACAAATATAGGTGATAAAGATACGCAAGGCTGGTGTAAACATGGTCAACGCTAGAATGAATTCTCCTCAGCGAATAAGATTTAATTCAGTCTGTTTCACTCAAGGAAATGTAGATTGACCATTGATGTAAATAAGTAGTTTAACTAGGAAAACTGAGGAAAATTCACAAGCGATGAAATTGAAAATGAACTCCGATACAGTGTATCGTGAATAGAATAAATCCATTTACCCACTCCAATAAGTTTAGAATTATTAATCATACAAGCTACCAATATATATAGGTGAATTTTTAGTTGAAGTAAGGAAAATAGTAGATGGATGGATTTTGGATATATTCTATTGTAGAAGCATTTGCTCTTTTGGAATTTGATGATGGTATCGTAGAACAAATCAAGAGCATGAAGGTATTTTCAAGATTTTTGTGTTTTCCCTCTTGTTGAAGTGTTCATATTCCAGTGTTCCTAATCAAGTCTTTATTATAATGAATTAACAAGAAATCTAGGTCAAGTTCAATAAAGATATAAATATAAAATAAGGAGCAAGTGTTTTCTAGTAATGGTGAGCCGAACGAAATTATTGGAATTCAGATTTAAATTAGATATTTAATTATGATATTATATTTTTATTTGAGATGAAAAGTGGATCAAGTATTCATGAGAATAGTCGAAATTGGCGAAGAATTGAAGAGTTATGATAATGAGAATGAATAATCATGACCTGTGAACAGATTAAACTCCAATTTAGAGTCATAATTATCTAAGGAATTTGACATATGACGGAATTTCGTCAAGTAATAAATGTGATAAAGAAATAAACTTTGAAGCAAAAAACAGGGATAATGAATAGAGAAATGAAAGAAAAACAGAAAAATATTTTGAATCTGATTTCCAAAAGGCTGTGGTATATTAAAACAAACTATAGGCAAATGAAGAAGATGGGGAAATGTTTTGAAGATAATCATTTTTTTTTTGTGTGACAATTTGAAATTTCAAGAGTACCTACTAAAATTAAGTCAGTCAGAATTTTGAAATGAAAACTATATTCTTCATGTTTTCTTTGCCTAAGGTTGATCTCTTTCAGGAAACTCCAGAGGACGCCGAGTCAATAGAAAGTGCATCTTTCTATTTCGTCTGTCTAGAGGCTACAAATGTAAGCCTATTGCTTCGATTGTTGTGGTGAATCATTGTTGTGGTGTCATAAATCTCTTACAGGGCAATTTGATTTTCAATATTTATTATTCGATCATTCTGCTTTGATTGAATAAGGGTTTTCTTGCAGGTATATAAAATTCATTATTATTCGGACAGGTATAGAAAGGTTAGCAATAAGAATCAAGAAAAATATAAGTCCTGAATAAAAAGGGTTCAGTAAAAATAAAATTTCAGTTTCCTCGGGAATGTATAACACATGAATTTGTTGTGTGTAAAGATGAATTGAAATTCACTACCGATGGATTGATAGGTTTAGATTTTTTGAATAAGTTTCAACCTATCATGGATTTCAGTCGGAGTATAATGAAGATAAAAGGATTCGAAATTCCAATGCATGGTGAAAATGAAAGAATTAAAAAAATATATCAGCCGTCCGAATTACAAGAATTTCCAGAAAAATCTTCATTGCTATGGAACAAGATGGGGTTCCAGAGAATCAAGGTAACACTATGATGTTCGGAGGTAAAAATTTGAATCACCCCGAAAGAGAGGGTTATAAAGACGAGCAGAATAAGACTCGCAAGAAAATTGATTCTGAAATCAATAGAGGGCAGAATAAGACCCATATGAAGAATTCAAATGAGGGTTTGTTGCATAGTAATGCCAGCCCGCACCTCTTTGACAGAGGGAGTCATTGTCACTACTCTGTCAACTTGTGTCCTCTGGAAGAGGTACCTGCCTCGTTGAAGATTCCTACGGCTGCCGCCGAGAGTTTGTATACTGATAATAAGGAGGTTTCCTACCACAGTTCTCTCAATAAACAGGAATCAGCAATAGTCACCTCTCCTTATGACCAAGGAAGCTTGAACCAAGTTGAAGCAACCGGGTGGGATAATAATTTTAAAAATCCTAGCCTAGTAAGGATGAGGGAAAAATTGGTAATACCGGCTTTTCAAGGTTGCGACTTGCGTGTCCAAGTAGAAACGCGCGTCTACGAAGGCATAAAAGTTTGTCAACCACTACCCCTCACCCCTGGAATATGTGTCGCTCGATCTGTGGTTACTATACCACCTAACTCTCCCCGTAAGAAAAAGGAAATTGTGGTACGGATTCTTAATACTTCTCCTGTCGCACAGACCATAGGGAAGAAGTGTCCGATTTTGAGGTTAACAGACGCGACAGCGGAGAAAGATGATTCGGAAACTTCGCGTATGGAAGTACGACGGTTGTATAAAGGCATAAAGTAAGACCTACAAGAAAATTCTAAAACATTTACCAATTGCTGATAGAAAGAAAATGAAGGAGTTTTTGAGTACATATAAAGATATATTCGCCGAGGAAAATGAACCATTGAGGGCTACAAAATTGATACAGTACACCAATGATATAGGTAACAGCGCACCTGTTCATAAAGCATAGAAATACCACGGATCACCATATGATGGGAGGCTATACGCGAAGAAATAATCGACGTGTGGAAATTGGGACACCAAACCCGCAAATCAATAATAAGCCGTCCCTGGAAACTACAGAAAACGAGTCAGAAAATAAAGAAAATCATGCCGAAGTAGAAGAAGAAGCAGAAGTTGAGGAAGAAGAAGAAAATAGTGATGAAAAGACAAGTGAAACGGAAATTGAAACGGAAAATGAAAATATATCGAGTGAAAATGAAGAAAACTTGATAGAAAATCCTGAAATAGAAGAATTTCACTCCTTGTCATCTGAATCGGCTAATGAAGAAAGTAGACTCGAAAATAGTGTAGAAAATGAAGGTGAAATGGAAACAGAAATAGAAAATTCTACAACAGAGGTACCAGAAATGAGTAACGAGAACAATCAACGACAAACGAGAAGTCAAGGACCGGCACAAGATTATCCGTGGATAAGTAAAAATAGAATATAATAACAATTCCACTCATGTATAATAGCTCATTGACAATTATTTATTTTTTTCAGAGTAGATAGTAGAAAATTACAATTTGATATGTTTCAGAAAATGTTGCTAGTTTTGTGTCTAGTGTTCGTTAGGCTGTTGAGCCTTACACAAGGGGACATCATTGCCTATGATTGCCAGGACGAATCAGTGGAGCTGACTAAACTGTCCTTGCTGAGAGTGAAGCCATGCCTCGACCCAAGGAATGCCACGGAGACTACAAGAAGGAAGATCCAGCTCATCCAGAAGCGACAGTACGTGGGAGTCCAGGTCTACACTTGCCTCGTCGTGGTGCAGCAGTTCATCCAGTACTGCGGAATGCACTCCCATACCAGCAGCGTCGCAGGAGGCCTAGGAAAGTACGTCCACTACGTCTCTGCCGAGACGTGTCTCAAGGCTCATCAGTTCCGGCACTTGGATCTTCGAGGAATAGGCGGCGGCATCATCAGCAAGATCAACCTCAACGGGACCACGGAAGTATCAACAACCCTCCAAGGACACCTCGACATAAGCGGAAAATGCGAAGGTATCAAATTCACCGTCGGAGATATCTCGTACGAAAACGTCGTCGTGTCGGCCGCGATAACAATCAAGATGTCCGATTATTTCACTACCGCGGATGTCGAACGTAATGTCGTGAATCTTCGTTCGGGAACCATATGTTCTTATAATGATGGATCCTGTTTCGATGACTTCTCCGGAGAGGCGATATGGAGAGCAAAAATCGCTGATCAGTGCACAAACAGTGGAGTTGATGTGCTTTATGAAGGAAATGCAACATTGCTCACACTTAGCAAGGATCCACCAACATTTTACGTAAGATTCGTTAGGATTTTTCTACCGAAAATCACTCAGACTACCTCAAAATAGAGATATGATGATGCATGTACTCAGCAAATTGCTTTATTTGGAAATTGCTGTCAAAAGACAAATGGCTGATGTTGTCTACGATGCCATCATGAAAAGGTGTCAATTAAGAGAGAAGATTCTACAAAACCAGATCACTATGGCCTTACAATCACCTGACCTCGTGGGTAACCTTGTGAAAGAAACTACAGGTTATATTGGACAAGTCATGGGCGAAGTACTCTATATCGTGAAATGTAAGCCAATAATTGTCGAGTACAGGAGAGCCACGGCTTGTTACCAAGAATTACCTGTAAAGTACCAGAACAGGTCTCTATTCCGATTACCGATGACCCACATCCTGACAGAACATGGTACTGAAATAGATTGTCAGCCACTGTTGCCTCCTAGTTTCAGAATCGAGGGTAAATGGGTAGAATTGACACCTGCATTGAGAAAAGCCGATCCAGCTATCGAACTGGATGCTAACACCGAGGACGAAATCGTGAAGTTGGCCAGGATATCACCTATCACGTCGGATGGTATCTATACCCGGGAAGATATGGAAAAGTTTCAACGCACGCTCATGTTCCCGAACGAAAGAAAAGCCGTCACGAACGAAGTCGCGCGTCGCGTAACAGGAAGAGGTATAGGTACGGACAATTACGATATGCCTAAACTCTTCAGTGAATCGGAATTTAAGAACTTTGCAAAATCTGCCGCGGAAGAAGTGTGGGGTTTCCTATCGAGAATGGGGAACATTTTCTCGATATGCGGTTTTCTGTATACCACATTCTGTGTTGTGAGCTATATTACGGGTGTGATAACGAACTATTTCACCATTAAGAAAGTAGCCAAGGACCATCCGCGTAGGAAACGATATTTGTGGGCTAGCTTTTTCCAAGCTTTAGCCCACCGGTATATTTATAGCCTCCATCGTAATAGTGATCCGGTAGAGCACAACGCCCTAAATAATATCGAACTTCAGGAAGTTCGAATAAATGACACTGATGCATCTCGGCATTCCGCGAGTGAAACGCGGATCACCCCGAGCGCACCTGTCGCTAAGGTCACCTATCCTACCCTCATACCTTGCGACAATCCCAATTGTTTGGAAAAGCAATGAGAATGAAGTTACCACGGAGACGAAGACAAGGACCACGACCCACAACGGAGAAGACGACGAAGATTGTTCCAGGAAAACAAAAAGTAGGTTAGTTAGATATGTATATATGACTATTCTGGAGTAACCATTTATTACCCAACTTGAAGTTCAAGACAAATAAAAAATTGTTACTCTTAAAGGGGGGAGAAATGTAAGAATGCGAATTATTCAATTCATAATTTAATATAGATTTCCATTGGACTTTAGTGATTAAATGAAATTAGTTGTATCTTTTCCATTTCAAATTACTGAGAATTCATTTTCAAGAAATCGGTCTGAAAGTGAAATCGAGAGTCATTAAATTTAACTAGGGCCACACTCAATTCATGCCTAATTTTTTCTATTTCGAAATATATAGCTATCATAAACTGCTAATAGTGTCCTATTGACCATAATTCTCGACCACCCGTGGTTCAGCTCCTATTCCAAAACTATCGTAAAAGTTTCACTCTCTGCATCAATAAGTCTTATTGAATGGGGTACTCCAGGATATGTCAAGTAGGTATTGTTAGTTTAAGCATAAAAGTCGTGTTGGTATAGGGTTTTTTATTGGAGATACTTCCTTTTTCCCTATAGATGTGAATAGAAACCACACGTCGTGTAGATAATTTTAAGAGAAGCGATCTTTTGCATGCCATCAATTAGTTGACATTTATTATTTCAAGGAAATGGTATTAGTTTAGGCTAGGAAACTCGAGAGTATATCTTTTGAATAGGGCAATTTATGTAGCATAATAAACACGTCAAAAGTAAGGGCTCTCGAGAAACATATATAGTTTATTTTTATTTTGTGAATATCTGCAGAGGGTACTTAAGAATTTCGAAGAAGTCCCCACATGTTGCGAAAACATAAATTATTTGTATGTCAAGTATCTGAAGCTGGTCAAAAGAGAAGGAAGGAATAGTATACACCCCTAGAGAGAAAAATCTACCACGATTGGTTGATACCATCCAACCAAGTCAAGTTTCCACCCATAACGGGAATGAACAGACGAAATTAGAGTCAGATAGGGATTTTAGAAAAATCTTAAAGTTAGTTCAATTTTGAATTTCATCCTGCTTGCCTAGTGTTCTGGTGCGTGAATTCAGTGTCTGGTAAATCTCTCAAAGATTGTATTTTTTCTGATATTGATAAAGTTTCCCTTCTGGTAATCATTGGAATCTTGTAAATTCATTGAGTTTTCAGAGTCTGGACTCAACTAGGTTAGTACCTTCCGTACTGCTTAGAACCTCTAAATTTTAAAGTGAAATACATTTTTTGAACCATTAACTTCCTTTTGACTGGTTAAGATAATATTAATTTGATAGATTTCAACTCAGTCAGGATAGCTGTAATCATCATAATTATCTCTTGTTCATTTATTTGCTTTGTTATATAGGAGCCATTTCCTAATCGAGTCGTATTTTCTTTACTTGTCTTTTCATTATTTGTTTATTTTGAGAATCATTAAATAGATCGTTGAGGTTTTATTTATTCTTTTATTGCTGAACTTACTCACTTCTCTTCCAGAAGTGAACAATAAAGTAAATTTAATAGAAGTTCTTCTGATATAAGTCAAAAGTTGATTATATAATATAATAAAGGCAAAGAGTTACCAGATAAGTGTTTATACGTGTGACGGTTCGAGGTAATCGATAGCCCGCAGAAGCGATAGCTGAGCCCAGAGAGCTGTCACCCCTTCTGAGAGTCGAAAGGTAAGTGGAATTTTATTGATAATGTTTACGAGCCAACTCAAGCGTATTCTTATTGGACCTTACTTGCCTAACCTGTCTCGTTCGGCAAAGAAAATCAGTAGATGAAGGAAATAAATATTATTAAGAAGGTGGACCTAAGACAGGTGTAATTTAATCAGTTTATTTCGAGGATAGAGTATCTTCATCAGAGTCCACCCTTCTTACAATGTCATAAACTGTCAAGTTCGATATATCTCTTGCGTAATTTGAAAAACCAATTATGCTTCAATACTGTTCGAACATGTTATTTTTCATTTCTTCATTCTCACATAAATTACAGCATACTCTTATGGGGAAACTCTTCTTACGCTATGAAGGTTTTCAAAATGCCAAAAAGAGCTATCAGAATTATCGTTGGTGCTGGTTACAGAGATCACTGTCAACAAATATTCAAGGAACTGTTTATTATGCCTATACCATCCTTATTCATATATGCTACAGTTATTGAAATACACAAAAACAGGAATTCGTTTTCTACCAACTCTGATTTTCATAATTACCATACTCGTTATGCAAATAATTTGAGGCCATTACGTTACAGACTGAACAAATCTCAGAATAATTCACTCGATATCAAACTTTATAATGTTTTGCCCCAGGAGCTCAAGGTTTTGAATTTGAATTGTTTCAAATCAAAATTGAAACGTCATATTCTCCGTCACTGTTTTCATTCCATTGACGAATATCTGAGGACGCCCCTCGATGAGTCCTTATGAATGATTGTTATTCAACTATATGTCACTGATTCCAGTTTGTTTTATTACTAGATTCTTCGTATTTGTATGTATGACTTTTATTCTACTACTTTTAAGCGTTTTTTATTCCACTATATTTTAAAGTGATTTTTTATGTACTACATTTTAACATGTCTATTGTATCTGACCTGCCAAAAACATAACATTTGTAACTTGGTGAAATAAATATTCTATTCTATTCTATTCTATTATAGAAAGAAAAAGAAAATTAAAAAAGAGCTTTCCTCGCTGGAGAATCTAACCTACTCGCATGTGATTGAATTTTTACATTCCTTACACCTTGTCTCCTACGCTATAGGAACCTTATTGATGAATTATATAAATACTTATATAAATATGTCAATATGCACTTCATTATAGTAGTAGTAGTAGTTATAGTATATGCATATAACATCCATATCATATCCTGATACGATCCTGAATATTTTCAGAATATTCTGAGAATATGTAAAATATAAATGTTCATGAAATATTTGTTGCCAGAATGAAAATATTTTATGATCATCCTGAGCAACATTCTATCAAGAGATTTCAAAATGAGTACGAACCTTCTCAACGTTGTCAGAATATTTGTGAAATATTGGGATATTATAACGAATCATTGACGACATGCATGTCTGGTCTTTTTCAATTAGATTGAATATACACCGATATGTCGTTGCTTCTGTTTTGAGAGAAATAGGGGGTCGATCGTTGGTATTATAATAATGGAATCAATAAAGGACGTTGCAAACGCGAATACGAACAAGAACAACAATTTCAGAAACAAATCAGAATTCATCGTATATTGTGAAGTATAAGCATGAGAGCAGGGTGATCAGAGTCCTGAATCTTGAACCACCCTGTATCTGTTCCGATTGAATATCAGTAAATAGTGAATCAAAAGTTGAAATCAGGACATGTGAGTCGTTTTGACCGATAATGAATAGTTTCGACACAAGAAATCCTAAAGTTGATAGATCTCGATTTTGAACACCCTATATCTCTGATGTAATCGTTTTCGATAGACCCCAAGTGTGATACATTCATGAATTCAGCTCACCAGGAAAAATCTGAAAATGCAATAGAATACAGGGTGTTTTATTTGAAATATCAATGTTGCTACTACTTTCTAGTGGAAGCGGCAACACTACATTGTCGAAAATATCTTGAATGAAGAGAGCGTAATCTAAAATATGAGCATGCATATTTTCATGGATTTCTCTCGACTGATTCTCGATGTAGAGATAGTGTAAGCTCGTCGTGACATACCCTGTATAGATAACAGGAAATGCACGATAAATTCAAATCAGCCGATGGATCGACTCCATATCGGATGGAAAGCTGAAGTAAAGGACCATTCGGAAAAATATGATATAGGCAACGATGAACAAAATGAACTAAGCAAAATGAATCAAATAAAAAAATAGTACATTGTTAACCGGGTAGGAAAAGCTTAACATTCCTGGGCGACTGTAAAGATTGCTAGTAGAGGCGCAAGCCGAGACTTAGCAACACATACTCCAGGAATGTGGCTTTTCCTACGAGGTAAACATACTATTTTTCCGCAAATCGTTTAAAATTCGACAGGTATTGATTGATTTAAAAAAAAAAACGCGATAATTTTATTCCCAAATAAATGGTGCTTTGAAATTCCTGATAAAATTACTTGGGTTACTATGGAAACGTATTGAGGTTGAATTGTCAAACTTGACGCTTATAAATTTAATTGCTGGTGTTCTTGAAAGTAAAATGATAAGTGATGATGAAATTTCCATTCCTGGGACTCCTCCACAGCTGGTTGAGGTAGTGAATACTGCTTCATTAGAATTATTGCCAAAGAAATCAAGAGAAAAGTACGAAAATGCATACAGACGTTTTATGGATTATCGCATGAGTAAAAATACGAGTTCTTTCTCAGAAAATGTTGTAATGCCATACTTCCTAGACCTTTGTTTAAAGATGGAATCTTCAACATTATGAGCCAATTATTCAATGCTGAAGTCTACCCTTG